CCCCGCCCCTCCCCTCTCTCCTCCACCCACCCCCCCAAATTACAAACCCACCAAACAAATATACTCGCACAACTTCGTCTGTCCCCACTTTACTAGCAAAAAGAAACAGAATTGAAGATAAGCAGTATTAATACAAGAACTAGCCCACTAAGAGATACTTAAAAGATGAAAACTAAGTTTGAAACATTGAAATATTCGGACAATCATGGTTAGCTGTTATCCTATCTCCTAAGCAACTGCTAGAAACCTATATTCAAAACATGAAAATAGGCATACCCTGCGCCGACAACAAGAGGCCTTCTATATGAAGTAAGCTTTTTTTTGCACTGCAATGTGGAATTTAGATTACTGGGGCTAATGAACTGCTACATCTGTTAGTATCATTACTGGGGCCCATGCCGCTTGCCCGTCCCATCACACAGATTTGGAAGGAATGGTTTATGGAAAATGGCATAACTTGGATATGTGCTCGAGGTAGTACCAACGAAAATTTGCTACAGTATCATTGAACTTTTAGCAGCGGTCATGTTGCCAATTATCTTTCTGGGGCTTGGAATTGGTCTCTCGGAAAAGACAAAAACAAGTCTGCCAATACAGAGCCCACATAAGGCAAAGAGCCTGAATCAAATGACGACCTGGACTTCGGTAATTGGTTGTTTGTTTCTGAATCTGGTTAATTTGTTTACCTTATATGTGTAATAACCTGAATGGTACTCTTTTTCAGCGAGAAAAATGGCTAAAATGACTTTAAAGCAATTCCTACAAGGATCACTCGATGGTGAAGTTTGGTTCTTTCTTTCATACTGCCTATAAATTTCTCTACGATTTTTTTGATCTTATTGTTATTTTTATTGTATTTTAGGGTCTTATTCTTTGTTTATTTGGTTTTAATTTTTTATTGTTTTGGTGTTTCTGGTGCTAGCACTAGTGGATTTTGAATTCTAAGCTTGCTTCTTTCAAGGTACTGTTATATAGTTTGTTTTTTCATGCACACTCTGTAATTCACTATATTAGTGGCTATATAAATCTATTTTGGGTTTTTATTAATTTTTCTTTTAGTTTGATTTCTGTTTGTAGGTCATTGACTTATTTATATGGATACATTTTGTCTAGACCCTAACCTGTTCTGTTCGTTTATTTTTCCTTTTCTTCCCCCAAGCAAAGATTTGTGAATTTAAACTACTCTTGGCCTAAGGATTTGGGGTTACTAAATTTGTTGATTAGAGTTCTTTTCTAGGCCCTAGGCTCTAGCTCTATACAACTAAACATGCCTAAAGACTTTGATTTTATTTTTATATTGGTAATTCATATTTACCATGTTGAAAATGGAAAAAAAAAATACAAGTGTTAGGTCTGTAGGACATGCCTGGGTTCAAAATTGTGTTTGTATAGTAGCAGCCACGTACACTTTAAGAAGATGAAGTTGTTAAGCGAAGGGTTGAATGTTTAATGCAGTTTAGGTAGTTGTTCAATGTCTTTAATTACTAGACGTCCCTGTACATTCATTTTATTGAGTCAAATATCAATCTCATTCAGAGATATGAGTGGTTGATTATTTAGATTAGCCAACTTGCTTTTCTTTTCTTTTTATAACACATACTCTTAATTCCTATGTTCTCAGTACAAATTTAGTCTTGTTGCACGGCCCATCAGGTGGATGTATGATTTAGAAAACATAAAGTGAGTGCAAAAAAGATCACTTGATATAACTTATTGCTACATTTACTTAGTTTAATTTTTACTTCTTCCCCTCCTCTCTTCCCCCCCTCCCTCCCCCCCTCTCCCCCTCCCCCTCCCCCTCTCTTTCTCCTTCAGCTCCATGCCCGGTTATATTTTCCTATCTTTCATAGCTTCAGTACTCTCTTGTGGTGCGGTTTTATTTTCTTAGTGGAGATATGGTGCCCTACTATGGATGGGAGATTCTAACACTATTACCTGACTTCCAGATCAAGAATTGCATGGCAAGGAGAGAAAACTTTCATATGAGTTGTATCTGAAAGTTTTGTTCATCTCAAAGGTAATTCTGGGTATACTAGATTTTTTAGAAGTTTTCTTTCTTCCTTAATCAAGGTTTTTTTATTGACACACTTGGTTGTTGTCTTAGGTCTTAACGTATCTTGTGCTGCTTTGGTGGTTTTGGAGGGTTCCTGTTGCCTCCATATCACAACAACTTGTGCAACCCTTTGGTAATGCATTTTTGTTGCATATTTACTTATTGAGTTCCATTCTTTCTTCCAGTATGGCTATTTGTAAGAATCTTCTGTTTTGCTCTTTGTCGCTTGATGATTTGAGTTCTGCTTACTACAATTAATGCTTTCTTTTACTTGTTATATTCGCCTATAAGCCTATGTGGTGAGCTAGGATAATTACTGATTTTGAAAAGAAAAAAGAAGAAAGAATGGAGCTATCATATGCATAAATCAGATTAAGTAACAGGCAGTATAACAACTAAACTGATTGTAATTCTGATTGACTTTCTTGTTGCTTTGCAGGGAAAGTGCTATCATGGAGTGCTGGAGGAATTTTAAATGAAAATGTTATGGTAAATAAAGTTCAAGTGTACTTTACATTGTTATTATCTTATATTTTTCCTGGGTGAAACCTTATGTCGAAAAAGGGAGTTTTAAGTGATCCCTTAAGCAAAGATGCTGAAATATGTCTCTTCGTATTGCTCTTAGCAACTAAATGATCTAACTGCTGTCAGGCGCTCTTTTAATTAATATGTAATAAGCGTCTACAGTTTTCGCATTGTGCTTCTAATCTTCTCATAATGTGTTTGCAGATAGGAATAATACCTTGGTTGATATTCTCTACCAGGGTTAGCAAATTTGTTTGTCGACTGTTCAAGTTGAAAGAATTGAAGTGATCGTCCTGTGAAGTTGTCTTGAGGGGAAAGTAATTTGGTATGATTTGCTTTACCTTATAACCACAATATCTAAGCATCATGTACTACATTTTGTTTTTATAAACGGGAGTAAGAGGAATCAAACAGGAGATGTCTTTTAATATTAGGAAGAAAATTATCATTAAACTAATAGCTATCATGCATTTTGTTTACAACTAAAATATAAATAAGAATAATAATTTATGTCTTTACGATATATATATATAAAAACAAACATCTTGAGAATGAAACTCCAATGCTCATTTATGGAAAATGAAAATGAGATTGTCGAGTTTAGTTTAGACAAGTTTTACAAAAGCTCAAAACCAAACTAAATAAATCAGACCATTCGCGGTTTGATTTGGTAGCTAGGTGTGGAGTAATTATATATAACATATAAATTATAATTAAAGGTGAGAGGGAGATGCATGGCAATGGCAATGGCATGGCCAACGGACACATCCTTTTTATTTAAATGTTTTTTTTTATAAAAACATTTAATTTAAATATTGATTGAATTGGAAATGGGTGGGATATGTTTTATATTGTAACGATCTTTTTCTTTTTTGTGAATGGTTCGTAGGGTAGGGTTTGTAAACTTTGTAACTTAGTAGTAGTAGTTGTACCATAAAGCCATGATGAATGGAGGAAAGAGGGTATGGGAAAAAAAAGCACGTGAGTGATGTAGACTTGGTGCGTGCTCGATCGTTTTGGATTTTATTGTTTGTTTCAACTTGGCAGGAAAGTAACTCAAACTCATCCACATTGAAAGGGACTTTACGCAGTGGCCACGTGATTGCACCACTTTCTCTCCGGAAGTGTTCGACACCTTTCGCAGCAATTAAAAAAAAAAGTTGTTCGACCCTATCTCACGACACTCTAACTAACTCACTCGGTCTTTTTTTTTAATGAAACAAGCAAAATATAGGACGAAGATCCGCGAAGGATTCCAATATTATGAAAGTGAAAATAAATTATAACGACTACAAAATAGGGAAATTAGAAAACCAAATACATTAATGCACATAATTATGTTACATACTTGTTAAGGCATCGATCCGCACTTCATAAAACACATGTTAAATTCTTCTGTTCTCAATATGTGATAAAATACTCCACAAAACTCACTGGGTTGTGATACAATGTTTGGACCAATGGATCAAACAAAAACTAAAAAGTCTCTTCAAAGATATCAGATGGAAGTGTTGACCCAAAAAAAAAAGATATCAGTGACTTGTTCCTGCATCGTCGTTGTTGTCTCCTCCCCCAGATTCGGAGCCCTCCCCACTTGTAGAAGTGTCTCCTCCCCCAGATCCCGAAGAACTTGGGGTTCTACTCAGTAGATATTAAATATAACATTAATTACAATAATATTCATAACTAAGCTAAATGAAAATTATAAATACTCAAAAACAAAAGAAAAAAAAAACTTACTTTGCCTCCTTCCATAAGTTTTCGCAACGCTTCCATATCTTCCAGAGTTTCGACACAGATTGTATCGAACTCGTAAATCTGAGAGAGACAACTTGGTAAACTCGTTGTTGCTCTATTCTTTTGATTTTGGTTTCTTCTAGCGTTGGATTGTTTACCAGTTTTCCAAAATTTTTGTAAGTTGCGAATCAATTTTAAAGAACGATGAATAGCCATGTAAAATGTGTGTAGAGGATGATGCAAATGAAATATGTAGTTAATTTAGGATGTGAGTAAAATGTGGAGGAAAATGATGTCAATATATAGGAGGAGGGTGAGGTAGAGGTTGAGTGTTGGGTTTAATTCTGGAGTTAGAAGGAGAGTGAAAGAGGAAGGAAGTTGATCTTGCTGCATGTGCTCTCCCTTGCTATTTTTGATGACGAAGGACATTGGAGAGCAGAACCAAAAATGGATAAAGGTTTGTATGAGTGTATGAAATTTGAAATATCAGCAGAAGTAGTCTTATTAATAGTTGGATACATCTTCACGTGATCAGCAGAAGTACTCTTATTTGAAATATCCATCGATGGAAAAAAACAAATTAATATCAGCCATCATGGGGCCAGTTGGGGGATTGTAGCTAGCTGGTGAAAATACAAGGAGAAAGCAAATACAATAAAGTAGAGGAGAGAAAAGCAGCTCCCAATGCACACCAAACAAGCACTTACAAACACGCACTCGCAGTCAAAAAGCAACTAGTGGAAAACGTAACCATACACATGGTTGATAGAAACAGGCTTTGCCGACCATTATTTTGTATTCCTTTTTTTTATATCCAAAAGCATTATTAAAAGTAGAACAAAAAAGCCTTTTTTTTGGGTCAAGTAGTACAAAAAAGCTTTGAAACGCAATAGCAGCAGCATGTGAAACTTGACCCTTTGATGGGGAAATGTGGTGTCTTTTGCTCAGGTAAATGGTTGTCTTTTGCTCGGGTAAAGCTAGTGTTTGATGGGAAGCAACACTGTATTGGAAAGCAGCTAGTGTTTTTCTTTATCGCGCAGCGTGGGAATCTTAGAAGCCGGTTTCCTGGTCATGGTTGAGAGAAACAGGCTTTGCTGCCTATCCCACCATTATTTTGTTTGTTTGTTTGTTTTTTCAAAATCCAAAAGCATTATACAAGTACATTTAGGAGTGGAGGAGCAGCACGTGAAACTTGACCCTTTGATGGGAAATTGCATTGGGGGAAATGGTTCTCTTCTTTATCAATAAAACAAGCTAGTGTTGGATGGGAAGCCGCATGTGAAACTTGGCCCTTTGATGGGATGGGAAGCAGCTACTGGATTTTTTTATTTTTTATTTTCATTTTCATTTTCCCCTCAAAATGACAAAATTGTGTTTACCCTTGAAGGAAAAAAATAAAATAAAAATTTACACATGAAAGTTTGAAATAGAGATATTTGATCAATCCCGTTTGTTTTGTTTTTTTATTGTGAAAAGTATCAGTATCTAAAACCTTCATCTAATTATTTTTATTTTTTTTTGAAACGCAGCGTTTGGGGAGGGGGGCACATTTCCAGGATTTTACATGCAATTGATTCTCCCTACTGGCGTGACACATCTTGTGGGGCCAATATGAAAGGCCATTTTAGTCTTTTCATAATTACATAGGAAAATTATAATTAAAAGACCTAAGAATTATTAAGGAAGGACCTAATCCAACCACTATCGATAAACAATTACATGATTCTCTCAATATTCTTTTTCACTGAATTATTAAGGAAGGATTCCAATATTATGAAAGTTAAAATAAATTATAACGACTACAAAATAGGGAAATCAGAAAACCAAATACAAGATTCTCTCAACCAAAAAAAAAGTAATAATTCTTATGTTCTTAATATGTGATAAAATACTCCACAAAACTCACTGTGTTGTGATGCAATGTTTGCCCAATGGATCAAATAAAAACTAAAAAGTCTCTTCAAAGATATCAGATGGAAGTGTTGATAGAGAAAAAAAAAAAAAAAAAAAAAGATATCAGATGGAAGAAGATGGATGAAGCATTAAATAATTTTGGGTAGCTTTTGTCATTTTCATACATTAAATAATTTTGCTTGCTTGTTGGGGGCATCGCGCAAGAATCATGATGAATATTTTTTACCATCATAATAAAGTTATTCTGAAGAATGAGTTGGCTTGGAAAGGCGAGAGAGAGCATGACTTTCTTTTTGGCTTTTGCTTTGCTTTGCCTTTCGTATTTTTTCCTGTAACTTGGTGGATACTTCCGTTTTTCGTGTATTAGCAACTTGAATTGTAAATACAGGAAAATAGCATTAACTCAATAGTAAATGCGTGGGTAAGCCTTTCAAACCAGATGGTCAATTCCGTAAATAATAATGTGCAATATTACAAAAAGCCAAACTTACGATAATAACATATCGAGAGAGAGAGAGAGAGAGAGAGAGAGTTTATCTATAGCCTTTGATTTGGATGCCATTTTGTGCTTGCTTTGTTATTAGTAACATAGTAGTTTGATGTTATTGTAGTGGATCTTATTTCAATTTCAGTTCATGTATGTGCAGTACTACAAAAATGCTATTTTCATAATATTTATGTTTATCTTATTTCATAATATTGAAGTGGATCTTATAATATTTATCTTATTTCATAGCAGGTGTTGTTATGGACTATTCTTTCTTGCTTTTTAGATTGTTCTTATGTTAAAAAATACGAAAATAACAACAAAAAAGCGAAATAGAAAAAAAGAAAACTGAAGTCATTTACCAAACAACTTGTGTTCAGTTTTTAATTTTCAAAAAAAGTTTTCAGTTTTCAGTTTTTAAAAAAAATAAAAAATGAAAAATGTAAATTGAAAACTGAAATGGTTATCGGGCCTTAAAACTTTTTGAACCGCCGTCAATATGGAATGGAAGTAATGCTCATCACCAATTAAGGGTATCCAACTATTCCTACGTGCAATTATTTTCTAATAAGGTCATTGAATAAGGACCTGTTTTTCAGTTGTTAAACCAGATATGACGAGATGAGATGAGATACACAATTCTTATTGAAGGATCTTATTTAAAAGTGACTATACATATTGTCATAATATATCGAGCCAGTGAGTGGCAGTCACAAAAAATGATAATAAGATGTACCATAGAACGGAGCCGTACAGGTACGAATTTGGGGTGCACCTAAATACAGAAATATTTAAGGTCCAAATCAATAATTTCGCAGCAGGCATGTGATAGAAGGTGGCACGAGCTATGTAAATCAAGTCCCCAGTTTTCTTGAGCTTGAACTCTAGTGCTATCACACTTAGATTTCTTCCACTTCGCACAACTGAACTGATGCATGCATCAACTATCACCTCTGCCTGTAAGTAAGTCCCATTGCAAAGTGAAAAAAGAAGAAATGAATGATGTGAACCATGCAAATTATATTCAATCAAGAGTGTAAACTATGTAATACTCGAAATCATTCGGGTTAAAACACTGGGAAAAGTATAAATATTTCTCTTCTGATGTCATGGTCGATCCCACTTTATTATGAAACTTCAGTCTGGACACTACATGAAAAATTCCTAACCGATATTTAATGACAAATTGAATATCTGTTTAATTTATGGACATATTTGTCAAAGTCTGAAAGCATTGCAACAAAAAAGATGCAGGGGCCATTGTTGTGTAAAAAAGAGCTTTTGGGGTTCAAAACTACTACCACCCTAATTCACTCGAGGATAATAAGTCTTCAAATATACTGCAACGTTCAGAAACTTAGCTCAGCCTGTATGTTACATATTTTGGCCAATTTCAGTTTGTATCAAATTCTGCGGTAAAGCAATTCCATACTGGCATCTTAAGAAAATGGTCTCTTTTTTGATTAGTAATAAAGTTTATTAACAAAAAGAGGAAACGACCCAAGTACATGAAGTATACATCTTGTGTGCAAGAGGCAAGAAAAGCAGACCTCTGCGCACAGAGAGGTACAAATCCCTCACAAGTGTCATCATCTAAAGTGGAAGGTACAATCACAGTCCACAAATTACAACTTTTAAGTGCCAACAAAATCCTAAATCCTAAGTTTTTTCTTTAGTCATTCAATATCGTTCAGAATGCCTTAGAATACTATTCAATGTCCAAAGAAGACAGCTAAACAATCTTTAGTACAGTTTATGGGGATTGATATCATTTCATTCAATATCTTTGTTTCCATTTGCATCAAACTTGATAAAACAAGAGTTAAAGGAGACAAGTCTAATTCTGAAGGACTCAAATTCTTTTTTGCGCTGGCGAGGTAAGAAATGCTTAGTTCCCCTAGAAAAATCTCCTTATCCTTAGACACGACTGTTCTAGCACAAGCTATGGACACAGCCTCAGCAACAGCAGCAACAGCTGCCCCATGAAATCCTCCAAAGAAATTCTGCAGATTCATGAACAAAACATCATTACATACATTTGTTAGATTTCCAAGACACCTGAAGTTCACCAGCCTTTTCTTTTGTCAGAAATAAAAGAACAATTGGAACATAGGTCAATTCACATACAAGTTGAACATCAGTGAGCAAATGGGTGGTAATTTGCTAACAAAGTTAATAACTTTTGAAATTAAAGCATCTTGTTTTGCCTTGCATAAGATGAAAGTTAAAACCAGACAAACAAGTACAATGGGTCTAAGCCAATTATAAATGGGTGTGTAGTTTTAAGGCTTCGGAAAAATAAAACAAAGAGTATTATGTCTGAAAATTTAAAACTACACACCCAAATAAAATAAAGAGTATTATGTCCTAAGACTTAAAATTACACACTTGGTAAACTTGGTAAACTCGCTCTTGCTCTATTCTTTTGATTTTTGTTTCTCCTAGCGTTGATTGTTTAAGGGTGCTTCAAGCTTTACGTAAGAGGTGGATCAATTTCAAAGAACGAGGAATAGCCATGAAAAATGTGTGTAGAGGGTGATGCAAATGAAATATGTAATTAATTTAGGATGTGAGTAAAATGTGAAGGAAGATGATATCAATACATAGGAGGAGGATGAGGTAGAGGTTGAGTGTTGGGTTTAATTCTGGAGTTAGAAGGAGAGTGAAAGAGGAAGGGAATTGCTCTTGCATGTGCTCTCCCTTGCTATTTTTGATGATGGAGGACATTGGAGAATCCTTAAACAATCCAACGCTAGAAGAAACAAAAATCAAAAGAAATTTGAAATATCAGCAGAAGTACCCTTATTTATAGTTGGATACATCTTCACGTTAGGGCATCCATGGAAAAAACAAATTAATGGGGCCAGTTGGGGGACTGTAGCTAGCTGGTGAAAATACAAGGCAGGAACGTGATGAGCTTTAACGAAAATATCGCGCAGCGTGGGAATCTAAGAAGAGCCGGTTCCCTAGGCATGGTTGATAGACACAGGCTTTGCTGACCCATCCCACCATTATTTTGTTATTTATTTATTCATCCAAAAGCATTGTAAAAAGTAGATTGGGAGTAGTTATTTTTTAATAAAAGCTTATTTACTGTAGTGCCCCCTGTAAGTCTTGTTGACATTGGAGAGTTGGGCTAACAGGCTAGGATTTGGATTTGGCTTCCATTAATAATAATTAAATTAATCAAAGACTTGGCTCTTGGGCTCTGGGGAAGTTCGATTAAAAAAGAGAAATACATATTATGCTACTTAAAGGGTTTGTAAAATAGTATAGCCGGGCGGCGATACTTCTTTTAAAAAAAATTAAAAACTGAGTATAGCCGTGCGGCTGTACTATTTTTATATATAAAGAAAGAGGACCACAGTCATTTGGCGCCACGTGTCAAGATGATTCTATTTTTAAAAAAAATTAAAAACACAGAGTATAGCCGGGCGGCTGTACTATTTTTTTTTTTTTAAAGGGGACCCTCCAGCGATTAGACACCACGTGTCGATATACTAATTTTGAAAACAATCGTAGTACAGACGCACGGCTATACTATTCCAAAAGGTCTATCTACAATTTAATATATAAATAAAAAAAATAAAAGAGGACCCTCCAAGTTTCATTAGTTTGTACTTTATAGATATCAATTTTCTAATTTCAACGTATCCGAAGTAGATATTAATGAGCCACCATATAATATTTTAGTATAATTTTTTTAACATATATTATTCTTATTCAATAATGAGTACTGCTAAACGAACCCTAAAATTAATTGAGTACACCATACTATTAAACTATTTATTGAATTACTAATTTACCCTAATATAAAATGACTTTAAAGGATATATTGAATTGTGTACCCAATATGTACACCATCCTTAAGACTTGACGCATGCCCGTTGTTATAACTATAGTCAACTTTTTAATTTTAATATTTTAAAGTATTTAAAACCAAAAAATAAAATAAAATTTTAAAAAGAGAAAAAAAGCTCTCTCTCCTTCCCGACCCACCCCACTCTGAGACGAGTTGAGATATGCTGTACCCAAAATCCCAAACTACCAAATCTCCCTAAATTAGATTGAAAACCCACACCTCTCTCGAAAGATTGAAGACAATATATTTAATTAAGAATTAAAATCTTTGTTTTACTGCTTGAGCTTTTGAACCCATGTCTTCAAACAAATTGACTTAATTTTTAACATACAACTCGGAATCCAGGAGAAGTGTATTGATCCCAGTTGATTTTTGTATGCATAAAACTTAAACAATCAATAACACAAACCAGGTGGTGGTGATCGCACAGGAGAGAGATAAAAGAAGAAGAAGAAGAAGAAGAAGAAGCAGGAGAGAGAGAGTTTTGTTAAAATATTATTTTACTTTATTTGTTTATTTTAAATACTTTAAAAGATTAAAAATTAAAGAGGGTGTACCATGGGTATTTTTGGTAGTTAAATAGGGTGTACTTAGTTAATTTTACATTTTAATTTAAACATTAGGGTGTACTTAGATCGTAGGGTGTACTCAGTTAATTTTAGGGTTCGTTTAGCAGCACTCAAAAATAATATGTGAGAATTATTTGTATAATACGTGAACTTTGTGTGTTTTACTGAAAATTTTGTAAAAAATATGTGTATTAAGCATTAGAAAAACGTACGCACATGTACAATACGACTACTGTACGTTTGCTTTTTAAAAAACAATAGATGTATATAGAATACGAATATATTATTAAAAAATACGTACGTACGTACATATATGTATATATATAAAAGACTAAGAAACTAAAGAGGATAAGATATTAATTAAATTAAAGAAGTGGGCGAAAAAACAAAAGTAAAGAAACTAATTTTATATTTTTTTCAAAAAAAATTAAAAAAAATAACATAAACACTTCTCCCGACGAAATTTCGTCGGGATAGGTCTATGTCGACAAATATTTGTCGGATTAGATTTCTCCTTACGAAATAACCTCTGCCGACAATAAACTCCATTGTACCGCAATACTAAAATTTCCAAAAGTAAAATCCTCCATTGTACCACAATACTAAAATTCAGAGTAAATGAGTATCTTAATCCGATCCCATTAGTTATACTAGATACAAAAACAAATCCCACTATGTCAATCCAAGTGATAGTAGATACAAACAAATTCCAAAAGTGGTCAACCCTAAAAATGCATCTAATGTTCAGGTAGTTTAAACAAAATGTCATCCATTCTGTGTGTCTGCATCAATCTTGTCCTCTATCATGCTTGAATAGTGGTGCCATCTGATGCATATCTTATCACTGATTATTTTGCCCATCCACCTCTCTGTTCAAACAAAGGTCCAGTTGATGAAGAGTCAAGCAAATGTATTCTATAACATACCAACACTCAAAACACAAAACCTCAAATATACTTCTTATGATCTGATGAAAAATACATCAGCCACAATGAGCATGTGTGCATACATGTGTATATACATGCTTAACTCTACAAATAACACCAGAGGAAAAACATCTAAGACAATGCTGAGAAACTACAATGGCCTCACTTGAACTGACCATTTATAGCATAATGAATAGTTTCATATCAGGATAGAGTTCAAACAACGACGGCAATCATGTACTTGGGATCCACCAAAAAAATTAAGCAGAGGCATGAGGTAGAGGGGGCAGAAGAACATTTAGATGACAAATGCCAGAATATGTATTTCACCTTCTTCGAGGAGTTACCTATGCAATAAATTTCAATTTATTCATTAACAAAAGATTGTGCTAAAACTGCGAAAAAACACAGAGGCACAATCAATTTGAACCACATATTTCAGATATATCAATCCGTGTATAGAAGATCGAATAAAGTTGAATGAACGAAATGAACATAACAGTATCTTGACATTCCATTAGGAAACAAAGTTTGATGCCGTATGCATTCATTTTATTTATTTTTAATAATAACTTCATTCAACTAGCAAGCAATTTCCAGAAACTAGGAAACTTTTTTTTTGTTTTGCATTTGTTTCTATCTTATCCCATGTGCTTAATTTTAAAAAAACCAAGAAAAAAAGGTAGTTAATTGTTATATCTGGCAAAATGGCATATTATTATATTCTTCTTCTTTAATATTAAAAGATAAACAAAGGAAATTTTCACAATACCAACTCACTCCATCCCAGCAGCTCTAAAATGTGAAAATGTCAGAAAAGAAAAAGGGAAAGAGAAAATAAACCTACTTGGCTCCAATTGAATCCATAGTGCAGATGAATGGCTTGTCTTCATCTCCCAATCCCGCAATTACAGGCTGACAGAAGTATGGAACAAACTAAATCACAAAGAGGAAGATAACATTTCTAAGTATTCATAATACTATTAACATGGTTGTACAGACCCCAACATCCAGATTAAGCTAACATATTCAAGAGCTTCTCATTATCAAATTGCTCAATAAAATTTCAAACCTTTTCTTATAAAGAATAGCAGAGAGGTGGCTGGCAAAGATACTCGCAGAACTTGGTCTGTCCCCACTGTACTAGCAAAAAGAAACAGAATTGAAGAGAAACAGTATTAATACAAGAACTAGCCAACTAAGAGATATTTAAAAGATAAAAACTAAATTTGAAATATTGAAAAATTCGGACAATCATGGTTAGCTGTTATCCTATCTCCTAAGCAACTACTAGAAACCTATATTCAAAGCACAAAAATAGGCATACCCTGCTCGGACAACAAGAGGCCTTCTATTTGAAGTAAGCTTTTCTTTGCCCTGCAATGTGGAATTTAGATTACTGGGGCCAATGTTCAAAAGACACTGGTGCATTGGCTTCGAAGAAGAACCTAGCATCAAACATTAGGCAATAATTAACAATAAAAATTAAAAATTAAAATGTGAAATGTGAAATTCAAAGTCAAAACTTCAACCTGCAATGTTTAGACATGGTAGACAGAGTCTCATGAAATGTATTGAGTTCAACCCAAGATGAAAGAGAATTAATTAAACACCCGACTAACATGCCCGTGAAAACAATTTGATGCAGCATTGGAAGGAAATCACATAGAAAAGAAAGCTGGACCAAGAAGCTCAGAAATACCAGCTGGTGCATATTAAAGTTCCAATGCACTTCAAATTCAAAGTTAACAGCTTGAAATACTCTTTAAATTAATATTCAACTGCTTAACTGAAGTTATAAAATTTGGGCTCAACTGTGAAAGCATTGCCCATAAGGAGGCCCAACTATAAAAAAACATGCCCTGAAAAAGGCCCAACTCTAAGTACGACATGATGAAGTTGTCTAATTCTCCCTTTAGTTCTCATGTGAACTAGATGAGCAAAGAGCCACTCAATCTACGCAGCAAGAAAATGTATGAATTGTGACTATATATAATCGAAAGTATGATATATGTCAACATTTTGTATCTTGCTTATGGTTTTCTTCTACTTTGATTTGGGATATTGGTGTAAACTAAATTTGATTATTTTAACATGTGTTAAATATTTAGTCCCAATTTCCAATTTCCACAAATCTGTCACAAAAGCAACTTTTGTCGGTTTTTGTCAAAGTTGCGCTTCATGGATCGAAAGAGTTTGAATTCCGGTGTGTCTTCTATGTTAGGCTGTACTTCTTCTCTGAATTCCGGTGTGTCTTCGATGTTAGGCTATTCTTCTTCTCTAAATTCCGATGTGTCTTCGATGTTAGGCTATACTTCTTCTTTATCTGTCATGTCTACGAAAATGGGAAAATGCGGAGCAAAATTCGGGAAGCGAAAAGAGGAAAATTTGGGAACCAAAAATAGGAAAAGGCGGAAAAGGCGAAGGGAATTTAGGAATTAGAACTGGTTATATATATAAATGGGGTGTGGCTTGTTGCATACGATTGTGTAGGGTTAGATAAGTAAATGGCATAGGGGGTATATGAGTAAATTTGTTATAGGTTATATTAGTCCTTTCAAATATAGAAAGTAATTATTTTCCATACGCTGCCACTCACTTCATATGCTTGTTAGACACCAAATCATCAACAAACCCTATTCTTATTTCTTGACCAAGAGCAGCTGGGACCTAAGATGAAGGAAATCCTTGATAGTTGCTGGTTTGGAAGAAACTCTTTAACCGGATGCATCGATCTTCTATTAATTTTGATGCCGCATCTTTTAATATTTTCTATCAAAGGTAAGTATTGTTGATTTGTTGTTACAATTTAATTTACTTGAATATGTAACTGTATGACGTCAACTGTGATATACTTGTTTGTGTTTTTATTTTTGGTAAATAATACAATTTTGTGTTAATAATATCTTGAGTTCTTTGATACAATTCTTATCAACGATCTATGTGATGAGTTCAATACTTATATTCAAATTTGTTACTAGGGTTGGAGAAGTCGAGGGCTAAGGGAAACGAGAAGCCAACCTTAATGGACCTACCCAACGATATCCTCCTTGACGTCCTTACAAGACTGCCGATAAAATCACTTTGTCACATCCGTAGCGTATCTAAGACCTCTCTAAGCATAGTTGAAAACCCATTTTTTGCTACGCTACGTTCACTTAATCCTGTTGTTGAAGGAACTCAACTTATGCTTCTTACTCAAACCTCGTCTTTTATTCCTAGCTACCGTAGCCGCTTTGCCTTGCAATCATTGAACTACAAAGGCGAGCACAACTTCACAAAAAGCAAGTATAGATATGCACAGATTTTGTGCAGTCTCCGTTTTTACGAAGTAGATCTTGTTTTTGGCAACTTGTATTTGCTTTAAATGGATGGGTAAATGCGTATTGGTCAATCCTCTCAGAGGAGAAGTTCTAGATCTAGAGTTGCCAATTAATGACTTTGTTGAAGCTTATGATAAAAGTTGGTACGGTATGGGATTTGATGGTATAACTAGGACTCATAAGATTGTTTGTATTGTTAAAAGTCAATCGTACAATCTAAGGAGGTTTTTTTTCGCGGCTTATGTTTATACACTGGACATAAGATCATCATTGTGGAGAGAAATACACTCAGTTCCCCAGTGTGAGTTTAGTAGCAAGACCATATCTGCATATGGAGACATGCATTGGTTGATTTATCGTGATGTAGATGGAGGATTACCCAATTGTATTATTTCTTTCAATTTCAAGAAAGATGAATTTGTTTGGATCCCTTATCCTAATTCATCACAGGGTTTTGGTCATGGTTTGAATCATTTGCTTAACGTGAGAGGGTGTTTGGCTATTATGTCATCTAGGTATGCTTCTCTTGAGATATGGATGCTAAAAAATTATGAAAAAACAATAGAATTACAATGGTTATCTGATTGAAGATTGCAGGGAAAGTGAATTGCCAAACAACATTTGGGAAGGAGAGTCATATCATATCTTTGAGAGTCTACGTAGCTAGAAAGTGATGAATTTGTGGCACTGTGGATCAAGGTAACTCGATGATGACCTGACGCCTTTAGATTTTATGATGTGCAGAACAATACCCAGCATGATGTGCCTGTGGTGACTACACAGCATGGAGTATTTTTATTACCTTCAACAATCAGTCATGATGCCAAAAGTAAAAGCAGGAATACCTCTTCAATTCTTTGTTTAAGTTTGATGTATGAAGCTTTCCTTTGAAAATGCCCTGAACAAACGGCAAGATTTGCAAATGGGTCTTCATATACTGTGTTCGTTTTGCTTACTGGAATAGAAATAAAAATAGAGTTTTTCTCTTTTTCTTGGGCGGAAAGTAAAGAGAGTTGGAATGGAAGTAGGGTTTAGCTAGGAAACAAACAATTAATCAATAAATAATCATGGAAACGGGAATGACAAATTTACGCTTTGATTTTATCTCATTTCTGGAATGGTAGTGGTTATAGACATTATTGTTTTAGGGGTAAATTAGTAAATTTGCAACGTCGATACTAAGTTCTACCCTCAGATTTGGGCCAAATTTGAATTGGACCATGCCCAAACAAATATCGGCCGCTAAATTGCCCATTTGGACTTGGGTCAGAACAACAAAGTAACCGAGAAAAACGACGACATTGACCAAAGAAAACTATTACAAAACGACGATATTGAACAGAAAAAAAAAAAAAAACAGAGAAAACGACGACGAGCCAGATGTGAGAAGCAGGAGAACGTAACCGAGTGCCATTCTGTCCAAGCAAAAAAAAAAGAAAAAAGAACCGAGAGCCAGATGCAGAGGTGGCAGTGGTATTGAGATTCTGAGAGGACGAAGAAGGTGGTGTTGGTAGGGATCGAGCAAGGAGACCATCAGAGATGGGAGAGGTGGTGGAAACCCTAGAGGGCCATAGAAGGTCGGTGGCAGCTCCTCTCGTCTTCATACTCGTCGTCGTTTTCCAATTTGTTTCCAGGTGGCTGCAACAGTTGAAAAAGTTACTTGCTTCAACGAATATCGATACGCATTTAAGCAATTAATGGTAATTTGGTGTGAAATCATTCTCTTATTCGCAGAGGGGAGTGAAGACTGCTAATTAAATCTTATATTCCATCAATTTAAATACATGCTATATTAATTTTGGTTTTTGGGTTCTTAGCATTCTGTTGATAATTGCATCTTCAAAGTTTTTACATCTAGCAGGACTGTGATCTTATTTTTGTTGAATCCAGGCCTTCAACATTTGCACAAGCTGCAAAGCTAAGGAGGATGGCAGCTGCTAAGGAGAAAGAACTTGCAAATTGTACTAGTTGCTGCAACTCCACCCATTCAATTATGTTTATATATGTTTATAAATAATTATTTGCAACATGCTTGGGCTCAAATATCAGTCTCATTCAGAGATATGAGTGGTTGATTATTTAGATTAGCCAACTTGCTTTTCTTAATTCCTATGTTCTCAGTACAACTTTAGTCTTGTTGCACTGCCCATCAGGTGGATGTATGATTTAGAAAACATAAAGTGAGTGCAAAAAAGATAACTTGATATAAGTTATTGCTTCATTTACTCAGTTTAATTTTTACTTCCTGTATCTATCCCCACCTCCTTCTGCCCCATGCCCTGTTATATTTTCCTACCTTTCATAGCTTCATTACTCACAACGAGCAGTGTTGGTAGCAGGATTCAGTAAACGTAGCGTAGCAAAAAATGGGTCATCAACTATGCTTAAAGAGGTCTTAGATATGCTACGAATGTGACAAAGTGATTTTACCGGCAGTCTTGTAAGCATGGGCGGAACCAAGGCAAGGGCTGCCCCTGGCTCTAGCCCAGGGACAGTTTGGGAAAAAACAAATTAAATATACATATAGTCTAATATTTTAACTATAAAATATATATATATATATA